CTGCACGATTTTAGCCCGATTTTTCACTCGCCGACAGGTTTTGCGAAATCGCCGACAAATGCCTGAAATCGGAGGCAAATCGGTGCTCGTTCACACGAGTGACAATCACGCATTGTGAATAATCAAAGACGCGATCTGAGAGAATCGCCGACGCGTCGCCGACGCCCGTGAAATATTTGGCATGTTAAATATCTGGAGCTGTTGGCGATTCACAATCCTGCTGTGTGAAATGAGTTCTGACTGAAAAACACATCGGCGATGACCTACAGCCAATGAGAGAGCACGATACAGGGCAGTGGGAAGTTCGGGGAGGAGGTATATGAAATGTAGTTTGTGGACCAGTGTTGCCAAATCCGCGATTGCCGTTGGTTGTTTTTCATGTCAGCAGGTTGAAGCGACCCCAATAACGTGATATTTAGGCCCTGAAATGTGAATTGTACCAGGAGAACCCCGCCAAAAAAATGCAGTGTGAACTCGGCATAACTTGCTCAAGGACTTCTCTCTGTGCCAATCACAGCAGGCTTGGCCAGCTGACCAATCAGAGCAGAGTAAGCTTATGGAAGGGAGGGGTTTGCTCTGAACTTACTTGGAATGAATCGTTTCGAAATCATTGGCAAATGACTCTAATATTAAATGTATATTCTGAGAAAATTACAATGTTTTCTGAGCTTAGATGCATTTAAACCTGTTGTAGGGGACTCCAACACAATATTAGGACACTTTAAAATACCATATGACCTGCTCTTTAATGAATTTATGCTTTTAAAATGTTGTAGTCTAGAATATTTAGTATGAATATTCCTTGTATTTCTGTGTTGGAGAATTAATGGAAAAAAGGAAAAAAGAAAAAAAAGAACAACAACAACATTGTGACACCAAGATAGGCCATTATAAGGGGGCCATTGGGTTTGCTATAGCCCAAGTGCCCTATGTGTTCTTATCCAGGCCTGCTCCCACACCATTTCACCACCACCAGCAGCCTGAACCGGTGATACAAAACAGGATGGATCCATGGTTTCATGTTGTTTACACCAAATTCTGACTCTACCATCTAAATGTCACAGAAATCATGACTCATCAGACCAGGCAACATTTTCCCAATCTTCATATTCAGATCAGCCCATCTTGCACCAACAACCATGCCACATTCAAAGTCACTTAAATTACATTTATTCGCCATTCCGATGCTCGGTTTGAACTTCAGCAGATTGTCTTGACCAACACTGTGTCTATACCAGATGTGACCGCTGTTGCACTATCTTTTGTCGTGTAGTGTCATGCTGCTCATGTCTGGCGTAGACACGGTGCAAGTCTACAAGTCTAAATGCAATGAGTGATTGGCTGATCAGTTAAACAGAGGCATTTAATAAAGTGGCCAGTGAGTGTAAGTAAATTTATATATATATTAGGGCTGCACGATAAATCGCATGC